CTTCCACTCGCACCGAGATTTGTAAAGACTGCACTGAAAGCTGGGTAATAACGAGAGAAAAGTTAATTGTAGAGTTCGATTAAAATGACTTGATTCCTTGTACAAATACTGTCCATCAAATATGAAAGCAAAGCTCTTTAATTAAATATTAATTTAATTAATACTGCTTCTCCTTTTATTTTCAGGCGTTGTTTGTCACGTTGGGTAAATAAGTTAACGGCCGTTGCAAGGCAGAGCAGTAGTATTTTCTGACAGGCACTTGGAAGTTGGAGGGAATTATAGTGTTCTATATAAAGTCCTCAAAATATTTCATCAATTTTGAACAGCAGCAATAATATTTGACTCAAGAGGAAAACTGAACAAAAATAGTACACTTATTGAAAAATTTTCCGTGATCTATGCCCTAGGGATTTTCAATTGACTACAGTAAAAACGCGCGTGAAAGAACCTAAAAGTCTGGCATAATTGGGGTAGTTAATGCGAATTTAGGGCACGTGGGTTCTGAATTGGTACATAATGTCTACGAAGGATATATAGTTGTTGATTACCAAACCAATAATATATTACAAACAACGTGGAAAAGAGTTGTTTAAATGACGAAAACTATAAACCAAAACTAACTCCGCAGTGAGTCATCAGTAACTTGCAAATACGATTTTAAAACTGCTCCCCGGCCCAATTGCCCAAGGGATTTAAGCAGTTAAAAAGAGAAATATTTTCTCTACAAAAAAGCCGTGGGTATCCTTAGTTTTGAGCGTAAAAATACTATTTCGAGATACTTCTAGCTCTCCAAAGTCAAGGCATCAGCTATACCACTTAGCTTGCGGCCCGTTCCTCAGGTCTCTGAATCACTTTAACCTGGAGGCAGGTTGCTTTTCAACGCTGGTATTTTTACATCATAAGTGTTCTTTGAGGAGGATAAGAATACACTGTCTGAAAATGACATAGCAGATCCTTTAAAATATTTAGGTTCCATGGTTACCAGTAAAGAAGGTCTTATCCGACACCCCTGCGCAGAACACTTCGTTATCGTCATCAAATTCGTCATCATTTAACAAATAACATGTACTCAGAATTATATGGGAAAGAAGTTGATAGTTACCAGTACAACTGATGCCATCTACACTAAATCCATCCTTGCAGCTACAATTGAAGGATCCCTCAGTGTTACTACAGATTGCATGGAGGCTGCAGTTGTCTGTTTTGATGGCACACTCGTCGATATCTAAACAACAAAGGTAATTAATAGGCCATTTCCTAGTTGCCTTTTGCCTCTGAGTAAAACCGAGTTGTAGTGTATTCACGGATTTAACCAAGGAGGATTCCGATTTAACCACGGATTTAACCAACAACAGTAAACAACACCATTGCAAGAGTCGAACACGTTTTTCTAACCATCAACATCCCACACGCATGCTCCGATATACAAC